AGATTGTGGGAGAGCATCCTGGAAGGAGTGATGTGGGAAATCTCTGCTCTCCTTGTTTCCTCTCTCACAGCCCTCAGTACCATGCTAAGGTTAATAAGTCCTTGGTACAGGGGTGTTCATATGCACCCCCATTGCTTCGGTTACCATTCCTATATCCAGATGACATCCAAATTTACATCTCCAACCCATGCATGAACTTTTTGGACCAAATCCTTGGCCTGCAGCTCAGCTCCACAAGGATGTCTTGAAAACCCTCTGATTCTAAATGTCTAAAATTGAACTCAGTATCATATGCCCTATAGTAGATGTCCTGTGATCCAGGAAACCTGCCTCAGTAGATATCATAGTTGGCTCAAGCTAGAAACCTGTAAGTCATTCTTCACTCTGTCTCAACCCCCACATTCCAGCAATGATTAAGAAATTGATCTGTTAAATATCTCTTTTGTGTTACCGTATCTCTCTCTCTCTCTCTCTCTCCATTGCCCACCATAGTTTAAGCCATCATTTCTTACTGGAACTCAAATATCTCCCAATTGAGGTGGGACACAGTGACTCACTGCTGTAATCCCAGTACTTTAGGAGGCCATGGCACGTGAATCACTTGAGCAGGTGTTTGAGATCAGCCTGAGCAACATGACAAAAACCCCATCTCTACCAAATATAAATAAACACACACACACACACACACACACACACACACACACTAGCCAGGTGTAGTGGTGCACACCTGTAATCACAGCTACTTGGGAAACTACAGTGAGCTGTCTAGCACCACTGCACTCCAGCCTGGGTGACAGAGTAAGACCCTGTCTCAAAAAAGAAAAATGTCTCCCAGTTAATATAACTGACACTCAGCTTGTTCTTCTCAAGCTTTTCACACACCAGCCAGCATGGTCTTTCTAGAACACATAGCCAGCCACAGCACTCCTCTTTTCTGTTGTCCTTAGGATGATGTCCAAATTCCTTAACTTCTTCCTACATTCAACAAGGAAAAGACCCTATTCCTTGATATTCATCCTCATGGTATTTTCCTTGTTCATAATATTGATCATGCTTTATCATAATTTCCTATATCTTAGCTGGGCATGATGGCACATACCTGTAATCCCAGCTACTGGGAGGCTGAGGCAAGAAGATTGCTTGAGCCAAAGAGTTCAAATCATGCCTGAGCAACACAGTGAGACTCCCTTCTCTAGAAAAGAAGAAAATAAAATTGTTTTTCAAAATTATCTGTTTCTACTCAACTGGGCGCAGTGGCCCACACCTATAATCCTAGCACTTTGGGAGGCCAAAGTGGGCAGATCATTTTAGGCCAGGAGTTCGAGACCAGCCTGGCCAACATGGTGAAATCTCATCTCCACAAAAATATAAAAATTAGCCAGCACGGTGACGTGTACCTGTAATCCCACCTACTCGGGAAGCTGAGGCAGGGGGAGTGCTTGAACCCGGGAGGCGGAGGTTGCCATGAGCTGAGATCATACCACTACACTCCAGCACTCCACCCTAGGTGACAGAGCAAGACTCAGTTTCAAAAAAAAAAAAAAAATCTGGTATTTTATATCTCTGCCAGATACTTGACTCAGATTATGAACTATGCCTGTTTTGTTTACTGCTATATCCTTAGCCCCTAGCACAGTGCCTGATATGCAATAGAATAATAAATGTGTAAATTAATTTTTTATTTTAAGTGCATTTTAATAATTTTATATCCTGTAAAATGGAAAGGCCTCAAATGTGGTTCTTTGCTAAGTATAGTTATATAGTAAATTATTTTTATAGCAGATCTTGTATAGTGTGCACATGGGTAAGAGATTCCAATTTCTGTTGTTATACCTGTTTCTGTCAAGAGCCATGGAGATGAACATTACCATGCCTAAGGATAAGTTAAAGAGGAAGACATGGGAGAAAAAACCCTAAAGAAAAGAAACTTTACCACTTTTTCCCTCAGCTAGTACTGCAGTATGTATCTTCATACATATACCTTTTTCTTTCCTTTGAATTACCTTAAAGTCAGATACCAGAAATGAGAATTATTGGGTAAAAAGGGATGAACATTTTTAAGGTATTTGAAATACTGCCAAATTATTTTCCAAACACATAATACCAATAAATAGTTAAGAGCTACATAAAACAGTGTCTGTTTTATCACGCTATTGGCAAGTGTCATGAAAATCTTTTTGCTGGCTTAATGGAGGAAAGAATGGCTCTTCCCCACTCCTTTTAGTTAAGGTTTGGTCTTTTTCATCTGATTATTCATGCAGCTCCTTCTGAGGGAGCATCCAAACCCTCAAAGACTTGTTCAGAGTTGGGCCTGTAACCTCAGCAGCCTCTGGGGCACAGCATCTCTGTTGTGCAGGGGCAGGGAGGGGCAGGGATGGAGGGAAAACATAACACAAACCACACCATTGTTAGGGGATGAGGTCGCTGGGATAATGCTGTGAGAAGGGATGAAAAGAACGATTCTCCATTCTTGATTGTTGTGATTTCTAGGGATGAGCCAACAGCTCCAGCGCAGGAAGGGATGGGTCTTTACTACATCCAGATGCTCCTTTTTCCAGTGCTGCCTCCTATTATTTCTGGTGCGAAGGGGTGGAGGATAGCATAGCAGCTGAAACAGATTAACTTTTATGCCAGTTTCCTCCCTTTGAGTGATTGCCCTGGACCTGGGGACATTGAGAATTCGTCAGAAACTGTTTAGAAATAAGAACGTGGTTCAAGGTCCCTGGTGTTTAAGAGCCAACCTTCTGGAGTTCATGCACCATTCCTGCCTTTATCTATGGGAGCTGCTTGAGGCAAAGAGATCTTTCTTTCCTCTCCTTTCCTACTGCCACTGCCATTGTTCAGGCCCTCATCGTGTTTTGTCTGGGCTTCCTGTTTCCCTTAATCTATCCTCATCTATGCTGTTGCCAAAGTGATATTTCTAACATGCATACTGGATCTTATCCCTCTCCAGTTAAAACTGTCAGTGGTCCCCCACTGCCTTCAGGATAGAATCCAAACTCCTTTTCCCAGCTTTTCTGAGCATTTAGCAATCAGATCTCAAACTGTCTTCCCAGACTGGCTCCCTACCCTCCTCTGGACTGTGCTGGGACCCTGACTATTGCATGCACTCTTTGTAAGGTGCTTGTGCTGGTCCCTCCACCTGATAGCCCTTCTGCCTATGTTCCACCAGATTCACTCCTCATCCCTTCACCTCCCTCCTCAAAGAGAAGTCCCCCTCAGTTATCACGTCTATGATGGATTTTCCCTGGATTTCCTCTGGTAGGTAATCAGTGCTGTTCCTGTAACCCTCCTATATACAAGATTGTGATTTCTGTTATTATTTTCCCCTAAATCAGGAATTATCATCCTTTTGTGTATTTGCATTTGTGGGTCCCCAGCCCTTAGTACAGTATTTGACATATAATAAATGCTCCAGAATATCTCATTTTCTTCTTTCCTGCTAGCCTGTTTCTAAGCTCTTTTACCTTCAGTATGTTCTTAGAGTTACAAGGAAATGTAATATAGTTTAATCTTCTTCTTTTCTAATGCTTGACAAAACTAAAGCCCATAGAAGAAAATAATTCGCTCTGGGGTGCTCAGCCAGATATAATGGCAGGGCTAGTTAGGGCTGATCCCCTTAGGTAACTTAAAAAGAACCTTGAAACAAAGGATTGCATCAGGAGAAAAGGAAGGAGTAAAGATTGATTGCCAAAGTTCTTTGCAGAATGCTTAATATATGTTACCTTTTAAAAAATTATTTCTTTTTTATTGTGATAAAATGCATGTAACATAAAGTTTACCATAATAGTCATTTTTAAGTGTATAGTTCACTGGTGTTAAATGCATTCATACGATGCAGCCCTCACCACCATCCACTTCCAAAACTCCTTTCAGCTTCCCAAACTGAAACTATACCTGTTAGACATTTGATGCCCTATTCCTCCAGTCCCTCAGTCCCCAATAACCCTGTTACTGTTACACTTTCTGTCTCTCTGAATTTGGCTACTATAGGTTTGTCATGGAATGGCAAAGTGGAATCGTATGGTATTTGTCTTTTTCTAACTGCTTATTTCACTTAGCATAATGCCCTTAAGGTTCACGCCTGCTATAGCATGTGCCAGAATTTCCTTCCTTTTTAAGCTGAATAATATTCCATTGTGTGCAAGTACTTTGTTGCGTATCTCCATTCATCCATCAGTGACATGTGGGTAGCTTTTGGCTATTCTGACTATTGTTGCGATGAATATAGGTATAAAAATAATCTGTTTGCATCTCTGATTTCGATTTTTGGGGGTCTGTATCCAAAAGTAGAATTATTAGATCATATGGTAATTCTAATTTCAATTTTTTGAGGAATTGCCATACTCTTTTCTATAGGAGCTGCATCATTTTATATCCCTACCAACATTGCGCAAGGGTTTCAGTTTCTCCACATTCTCACAAACACTTATTTCTTTTTTTTATAGTAGCCATATTAATAGGTGCAAAGTAGTATTTCATTGTTTTGATTTGCATTTCCCTAATGATTAGTGACATGAGCATCTTTTCATGTGCTTGTTGGCCATTTTGTCTTCCTTCTTTGGAGAAATGTCTGTTCAAGTCCTTTATCCATTTTTAGTTAGGTTGTTTTTGTTGTTATAGTAGTTCTTTATATATTCTAGTTATTAACCCCTTATAATCCTGTACCAGTCAGCATTCTCCAGAGGGACAGAAGTAATAGAATATATTATGAATATATATGAAAGGAAGTTTATTTGGGAGAACTGGCTTACACAATTATAACACCAAGTCCCACAAGAGGCCATCTGAAAGCTGGGGAAGAGAGAAGTCAGTAATGGCTCAGTCTGGGTATGAAAGCCTCAAAACCAGGGAAACCAACACTGCAGCCTTTAAGTCAGTCCCAAAGGCCTGACACCTTTCTCCCAGCCCCCACCCCATGCAAGTCCCAGAGTCTAAAGGCCAAAGAACCTGGATTCTGATGTCAAGGGCAGAAGGAGTGGGAGGAATCATCCAGTATGATGGGGGAACGGGAAGTTGGGAGAAGAACACCAGGAGACTCAGCAAGCAAGGTTATCCCACCTTCTTCCACCCGCTTTGATTTAGCCTCACTGTCAGGCTGTCAGTCAATTGGATGGTACCCGTCCACATTGAGGGTGGGTCTTCCTCCCCCCTGTCGACTGACACAAATGTCAATCTCCTCTAGCAACACCTTCACAGACGCACCCAAAAACAACATTTCACCAGCCATCTAGGCATCCTTTAATCAAGTTGACACCTAATATTAACCATCACAAATCCTTTACCAAATGTGTGATTTGCAAATATTTTCTTCCATTCAGTGGATTGTCTTTTTATTTGGTTGACTGTGCCCTTTGATTCACAAAAGTTTTAAATTTTGATGTGGTCCAATTTATTTTTTCTTTTTTACCCATACCTTTGGTGTCATATCCATGAAAACATTGTCAAATCCAGTGTCACGAAACATTTCTTCTATGTTTTCTTCTGAGAGGTTTATCGTTGTCATTCTTACATTTAGGTCTTTGGTCCATTTTGAGTTAATTTTTATGTATGGTATAAGGATCCAGCGGCTTTTTGCATATAGATACCCAGCACTATTTGCTAAAAAGTTCTGTTATTTTGTTGTATGTGTGTGATAATCCTCAGATGTGTTATAACTACTGTATAGATGAGAAAACAGAAGGTGAAATATCCCTGAGGATCCCCTGAAAGCAGGCTCCTTGCTTTCCTTGGCAGGTCAAAGATATTTAAAGGGCAGGGAAAAGCCATTTTGAAATAACGTGAGAAAATGAGAGGAATGAAATGAGAGGAAAAGCAAAACAAAATAAAATAAGATTTGTAGGCAGCTGGCCATGAGCAGAACTTTGAAGTGTGTTTATAGTTCAATCAGACCTCCTCCCCTGACCCTTTTACTCTCCTTCCTTCTCTTATTCTCTCAATTAGTCCTTCAGTTTACTGTCCCTTTTGAAACTCTTTGAAAGCTTTTCTACAGTCCATGTCCAACCTGTTTTCTGAGCTTTACCTGCTGTCTCTCCCCTCCTGCCACTGTGAAGCTGTAATGGAGCAGTGTTAGTTCTCACTGCTCCCATAGCAAGGCCTGCCTTTACAGACCATGGTCATTTTATTCACTTTACCTTTAGTGTGCTATGGTCTTTCTCCAAGGCCTCTTGACGATGGGGGCACCTGTTCACCTCTGCGTCCCAGTAGTATTGTGGCACAGAGGTGGCAGCTCTGTAAATGTATCAAAAAGGTGACTAAACAGTTTTTGTTCCTTTGCATAATCATTCCACATATGCAATATAGTCTTAGTTTCAGGGATTTAAAATAAGCATGTGACCTGGTCTCCATCCACCAGTGATTGCAATTTAGCTGGGAGAAAGGATGCTTTTATATACACTTGACACTTTAATATTCTGTATAACATGTTATATTTATAGCATTCAGTGAATAACAGGGAAGACTTGTTTTATCGCCATTTTACTATTAAGATACTAAAGCACAGCAAAGTTGAGGGGTTTGGCTGAAATCACATAACTACTAGCAGGAGATCAAGATGGGACTTAAGCCTGGGGAACTGACTTCAGGCAAGATGCCTAACCACTTTAAGCTACTCAGTTTGTTCATCTACAAAATGAGGATAATAGGATCTACTTTCTAAGTGGTTGTGAGTATTGAAAATGAGACAATATGGTTCTAGGTGCTTCGGAGCTGCAGCTTAGGTACAGATGTGGCCAAGTCCAAGAACCACACCTCACACAACCAGTCCCAAAAATGGCACAGAAATGGTATCAAGAAACCCCAATCACAAAGATACAAATCTCTTAAGGGGATGGACCCCAAGTTCCTGAGGAACATGTGCTTTGCCAAGAAGCACAAGAAGGACCTAAAGAAGATGCTGGCCAACAACACCAAGGCCATGAGTGCAGATGCTGAGGCTATCAAGGCCCTAGTAAAGCCCAAAAAGGTTAAGCCCAAGATCCCAAAAAGTATCAGCTGCAAGCTCGATCGACTTGCCTACATTGCCCATCCCAAGCTTGGGAAGTGTGCTCATGCCCGCATTGCCAAGAGGCTCAGGCTATGCTGGCCAAAGGGCAAGGTCAAAGCCAAGGATCAAACCAAGGCCCAGGCTGTAGCTTCAGCTACAGTTCTAGCTCAGGCTCCCAAAGGTGCCCAGGTCCCTACAAAGGCTTTAGAGTAGATATCTCTGTCTGCCAAAGTGAGGACAGAAGGGCTGGTGTGACCTGCCTCCCATCCCCCCCAGCCTTGGGCTGCCCTCTGCATGGGGCTGGGGTCCTCCTGTGCTATTTGTGCAAAGAAACCTGAGGCAGGAAAAAAAAATGAGACAATGTGAGTGAAGAATTTTGGCATGTCATACGGGGCACAATGCAAGCTACTATTACTTGTCTGTCTATATGGTGTTTTTGTCACTGCTGAAACACACTTTCAGTGTATTACTTTGGAAAAGAGGCTTGCAAGTACCATCACAATAGTTCTGCCCTGTACTGTTGGGAATATTAATGGCCACTCCTGTTTTACATGCAAGTCCTATGTCAAGCACCTCATGTGATGCCTGCCTGACTCAGGGCTCAATGAATGGTTCCTTTACTTCCCCTCCTGGCTTTGTGCTTTTATGGGTGAATTGCATGGGATTTGACGATCCCACATCCAGAGATTAACTAGCTGAATAAACCAACTAGAACTAAAACTTAGAATTCTGCCATGTTTTTCAGACCATGGCTTCTTTTCTGTTACTCTTTCTACAGTCTTTTGTGTGTTCTCTTCACATTTTTTTGGTAGGTTGATTTAAGTTGGTAGGATCACTGAGGCATAGTAGAAGCTAATCTGTACTGATGTCTTATTTTCAATTTGTAGAGGCCCCAGGGCACTTGTGTGATAAATGGTGCTGTGTAAATTAAAATGCAACTAAGGATCTCTTCAGTGTTTCTTAAATTAAGTTTATTGTGTGTGGTAATTTGCACCTAGAGGCTTTTGTTGTTATTTGTTGTAGTGACTATGGCAGTAATGAGCCTGCTCCCAGAAAAGCTTGGCACATGCCCCATAGACAGTTTATTTGCATTTGGCAGGACTCCATGGTGTACCCTGAACAAATGAATCAGCCTGTTGGAGGGGTGGGGAAACTGAATCATAGGGAGGCTGTGGGTCTTGCACATGATCCTCAGTGATCCTGAGATGGGGGAATTCCAGAGTTCTGTGTCCTTTTCCTGACTGGGTTATTCCTTAGCCTCAGGATTTGGGAGCATCAAGCCCCATGTCACCCTTAGAAGCACAAAGCCAGGAGAGGAAGTAAAGGAATCATTGATTGAACCTTGAGTCAGGCAGGCATCACATGAGGTGCTTTGACAGAACTCACATGTAAAAGAGGAGTGGCCATTAATATTCTCAACAGTCTAGGAGTCACATTCAGTCTTTGCTTTATTGTGGTAGGTAACACTGTTTATCTGGCAGCTGCATTGATCCAAACCACATGAAGAAATGAAAAAAAAATGTGCTGGGAAAAAAAAGCTTTAGAGTGATCCCAGAGAACACACTAAGGCTTATATACGTCAAAATCTCATGACAACCTTATAAGATAAATAGAGTGGATGACACCTTCATGAGTCTTAGAGAAGCCAAGAAACTTGCCTGAGATGGGGTGATCACAGAGTAAATAGCACACCAAGGACTGACAGATCACCACTCAAAGATTCTCTAAAAGTTAACATGAAACATTATATCATGTTTTATATTACACACACACACACACACGTTTTTTAGTCCCTGTTTCTACCACCCTTGTTGGGAGTTGAGGACACTAGATCTGGGAAGTTTCAGTACTTTTCTCTCAGACATGTAAGGCAGGTCTTGGTGAGCAAAAAGAGCCCAGAGGACAGAGTCATAAGTCCTTGCTTTGCCGATTTATAACTTTATATCTACAATTAAGTTACTTAATCACTTCATGCTCCCACTTTCTTTATCTTTAAAATGAGATAATAATAGTAACAACTCATGGGATAGTTGTAAGGATGGAATGAGCTCATATATGTAAAGTGCTGAGGAGAGTGCCTGGTCCAGAGCAACTGTATTTTGTTTTTGTTGTTGTGGCTGTGATAAAGACCACACAGCTTGGAGAAACCCCAAAATCTCCCTCTTGCTTCCCTCCTGCTTTCTTATTGAGGAACTGTAGGGAAATAACCTTTTTTTTTTTTTTTTTTTTTTAAACTTCACAGGTCATGTTGGCTCATAGTTTACAGTAAACACCAAGTACATTCAGTTGGTTGTGCCCTCAGTTCAGGGTATCTTACCTAATGTTCTGCCCTGTGACATAAACCCAGGTAAAGGGCTTTCAAGCCTAGACATGGGAGGAATGTTAGTATTCTCAGTCATTTGCAGCCAGGCATGAAGCTGATGTCTGTCAATATAGAGCCTGCACTAGACAGCATTGTTTATTAGGTAAAATTGTCAGTAGAACTCTGCTATGCCTCTTTCCTGTGCCTCCCACCCCAACTCAGGGCCTTGGGGCTCTGGCCTCTGCATGACCTGGTGGGATTGAACTTCAGTAAGCACCTCTTCTTGCCCACAGCCTCGCATCTGACTACCACCTCGCTCCAAGTCCAGTTACCTCAGGCTTTCTAGGTGTCTTGCTACACTGGTAAACTAATTGTATCTTAGGTATTTATAGAAAGAATTAATGAATAAACAAGTGTATTGAGGCAATTTAAAAGCAGTATAATAAACAGTACCAATACATCTGCCCAACCCACAGCCTGGCACATAGAGGCTTTTGTTGTTATTTGTTGTAGTGGCTTAATGAAAATTTATTGAATAATTTATTACTTTTGGTGTAATGCATTAACTATCCTAACTGTATGTTAGAAGCCCAGTTCAAATGCTGGCTCCTTTGTTGAACTGTTCTTGTATCAAATACAAATTCTCCCTTTTCTATAATAGAACTTTATAGGAAAGTTTATATGTATAGAGTTTATAAAATATTCTTTAGGGGAAAAAAAAAACCTTTAACTTCTTTTTTTTTTGAGACAGAGTCTCACTCCATTACCAGGCGCCAGGCTGGAATGCAGTGGTTCAACCTTGGCTCACTGCAACCTCTGCCTCACTGCAACCTCTGCCTCCTGGGTTCAAGCAATTCTCCCACCTCAGTCTCCCGAGTAGCTGGGACTACAGGCACATGCCACCACACCCAGCTAATTTTTTTGTATTTTTAGTAGAGACGGGGTTTCACCATGTTGGGCAGGATGGTCTCGATCTCTTGACCTCGTGATCCAGCCGCCTTGGCCTCCCAAAGTGCTGGAACGTTTAACTTCTATTACCTTATTTGATTCTTGTGACAACCCTGTCAGGATTATCTTCATTTTGTAATTGAAACTGAGGCTTAGGTATATGAAAGAGCCCATGTTTATGCAGTTCTTAAATAATGAAGCTGACCCCAAATCTTATTTTCAGGCATATAAAATGTACCTAATAAGTGTTCAATAAATACGCGGGGAAGAAAAACTTACTTTCAAGTAGTAAATTATTTCTACTTAAGTACGTTGTACAGGCAGATGTGTATTTTATGGAGTTGTGCCCATATTTTAACCTCCCCACTAGAACAGAAGCCCTTTTAGTCTGAGGACTGTCTTGTTTTGTTCCCCGTGCTTCCCAGAGCTTCGCACATAATAAATGTTTGAAAGTAAATTACTAATTTTAACAGGGTTCTTCAGTGGCAGAATTTCATACAAAATCAGTGTAGAGAGAGAAAAAAGCTTTAGTGGGGAGACGAATCAAACTTTTTTCCTATATAGAGAGCTCCCTAATGGCCCTTCTTATTTTTTTAGAATGAACTGTAGGACATACCCACAAGGGTCCTCTTTCTAATGGGGGATACGAGGCTCAGGGAGCCGCAGCTGTTACACACAGTAGAGACTCGAGGACAGTGGTGCTGGAACACCAGGCCTGGGCTACAGTTTGCCTTGGCAAACTGAGATTCATCACTATTAATATCTGAGCTTTCTATTAATAACCCTTTTCACTGTGAGCTTATTTAAATCTTCTGTTCTCTAAGCTATTTTTAACACAAATTCTTGGGCCTGGTTCCCACTTACAGATAATAACTTTCATTTTGATTTTGGTACTTGCAGAAATAATAGGAATTCTGCCCCACTGTTTCTCGGAGGACTGTATCTAAATTGTAGGTGGGGCAATTCTTTGTTATGCAAGACTTTATCCTATGCATGGTTTGAGGTTAATATACCTGTCCTCTGCCCTCTAATGCCTATAAGGTTTTCCAGACATTATGACAACTTACCCCACCACCACCACCACCACCACCACCACCACCACCACACACACATATTTCTAACCTTCCCCAAAGTGAACAATACTGGTACGGAATGAAAGCCACTATAACGAGACACCTATCTCTTGCACCCTTGATCTCTTTCTCTGTTAACTTGAGTTCCTATTCAAGGTAGAACTAGGAAACGGAATGTTACCCTCTACATCCTGATAAAAGCAGCTTTTCTGTTTTCTCAGAGCTCTCCACTTTGTGAAATAGAGAAGCACATTAAGATCTTGGGGATTGGGCTGCTCAGACCAATTGAATATCACTGTTGCTCTGTCAAGACAGATTAAAAATATATATATTAGCCAGGCATGTGGCATGTGCTTGCAACTCCCAGCTACTCAAGGGGCTGAGGTAGGAGGATCTCCTGAAGCCTGGGGAGGTTGAGGTTGCAGTGAGCTGTGATTGTGCCACTGTACTCCAACCTGGGCAACAGACCGAGACCCTGTCTCAGTTTTTTTAAAAAAAGTGGGAGGCGTTTAACCACAAGATTTTATTCTCTTAAAATTACATGAAGCCTGGTGAGGGGGACAGGGACTGAGGAAAGGCAGTTAATTAGTACAGAATTTCTTTTTGGGTGATGAAAATATTCTGGATTTAAATAGTGGTGATGGTAGTACAACCTTGCAAGTATACTAAAAGCTACTGAATTGTACACTGTAAATGGTAGATTGTATGTCATGTGAATCACATTTCAATTTTTTTTAATTGCATGAGTCTGCTACTCTTAGTATTTCCCTAGCTGTCATCTGATCTCCCAAGCTTGAAAGTTTAACAATCTGGCAGCTACTTTTGACTCTCCTCTTTCCCACAGTTTCCATTTCTAATGGGTCACTAAGACCTAACTCCTAAGTAATTCTCAAAACCCTTTTTTTCTTCTGTCCCCACTACCAATGACATTACTCAGGCTCTCCCTTGCCTTTACTATTATGAGTAGCTGTTAATTTCTCTTCCTGTCTCTAGACTTCACCACCCTCAGCATCGTTCCAGGGTGTTTCCAACTATGTCTTCAGCTTTTTATTGTGAAATGTAATACACATACAAAAATTATACAGAATATATACTGTACTATAAAGGAAACACCCATATAACTTAACCACCCATGTCAAAAAATTGCCAGCACACCAGAAATCCCTGAATGTCTCTTTCCAATCATACTCTTCTTACTTCACCCCATTCCCTCTTCCAAGTCTCATGACTTTTGTGGTAATCATGTTCTTGCTTTTGTTTGTTGTTTTACTATAAGCATATGTATTCTCAAGTAATATTGTTAGTTTTGTTTATTTTGAACTTCAGATAAATGAAAACACATTTTTATTCTTGCTTCCTTCTCTCAGCATTCTGTTTATAAAATTCACTCATGTTGTTGTATATAGCTTGGTTGTATTTTCTTAAAACCTAGATCTGATCCTGTTTCTTCTAGTCACATAGATGCTAAGTTCAAACTCCTTGATAATGGCAACATTCAAGGTCCTCCAGGATCCTATCTTGTAACCTGCTCTTTATTGTCATTTGCAGTGACCTCCCTCCCCACATCCTTTCACATAATCACATCAAAGATGCCCATCTTTCTTTGCATAGGGTTCTTGCTCTGTTGCCCAGCCTGGAGTGCAGTGTCTCAGTCACAGCTCACTGCACCCTCAACTTCCCATATTCCCTTTCTTTCTATGCCTCCTGTGCTTAAAATCTAGACTGTCTTTCTACTCTTTCATCCCGGCATATTTTTGACTCCCTCCTCAAGGTATAATAGCTCATTTCCTTAATTATTTATACTGTCTCTCCCTGTTTTAACACTTATTACATGTCTAGTATTATAAGTGTTATAGGCCCAAGCATCTGGAGTTCCGATATCCAGGGGCAGAGAAAGATGGGTGTCTCAGCTTCAGAAAAAAGAATACTTTCCCTCTGCCCTTTTGTTCTTTCCAGGATCTCAACAAATTGAATGGTGCTCACCCACATTGGATAAGAGTAAATCTTCCATACTCAGTTCAGTGATTCAAATGCCAATCTCTTCCAGAAACACCCTCACAGATGTATCCAGAAATAATGCTTTATCAACTATCTGGGTATCCCTTAACCCAGTGAAGTTGGCACCTAAAATAACCCATCACACTGTTATAGTCTCACTTCTTTTGTTTTAAAAAAAGAACTTTCATATACTTTACTCTATTGAATATCATCAACTCATATTTTCACAGGTTCAATTAGTTATAAACTTAAAATGTTATAACTTGGACAGTGGGAGCCCCTTTAAATCATATCTTTTTGACTCAACATCTCTCTCTTTTTCTCTCGTTAACATTTTTTGTAGAGATGGGATCTCACCATCTTACTCATGCTGGTCTGAAACTCTTGTGCTCAAGGGATCTTCCCTCCCACCTTGGCCTCCCAAAGTGCTGGGATTACAGGTGTGAGCCACCATGCCTGGCCTAGTTCTTTACATTTTTTTTCTGTGATTTACTTTTTCCTTTTTTCCCCCATCACAAACTTCACACACAATTCTGTGATATATTTTAAAGCAACTTTGCTTTTATTATTGAATAAAAAGAATTTTCAGGCTTATCTTTATTGTTGCTGTTGTTATTGTTGTTGTTGTTATTATTATTATTATTACTTCCCAATGTAGAATCAACCCCTTTCCAGAGAGTTCTGATTCCTTTGGTTGAAAATAATGCAAAGGACCCACTTCTAGGACTCTGGGTGCACATGAGAGGTTGTAGCGTTCATAAGCACTGTTGCTGCCATGGGATACTCTTAGTGACTGAGTTGGAAAGGTAGTTTTTTTCAAGGTTATTAGTTCATGGAAGGGTGCTGTATCTAACTTAGAGTGCATGGTTTTGTTACCCATTAATATTGTTTCCTACATAACTATTAGGAGGTATTTTTAATTACTTGCTATGGTCACTTACATTGAATTATGCCCAAATACAGGCCTGGTGAGAGATACATTTTCAAAACAATTAGAAGATAAAATTTGATATCTATACATAACACATTTTTAAAAACATATATACCTTAATTTATCTCTTCCTCTCTGTAACTATGTGAGGTAGGTGGAATTTGGTCTATTTTACAAACAAGGAAATTAAGGCATACACAGGTTAAGTGACTCATTAGGGTCACGCAGCTAATAAGTAAAGGCTGGAATTTTTAACCTGTATCTTCACAGTCTAAATCCTGTTTATTTTCCACTGTCTGTGCATCCTTTCAGTCTCTGCCTTCAAGAAACTTATGAACATTTCCACTTGTGTACCTGAAATAACATAAAAACATTCATCATGAAGCTTGTACTATAAACCAAGGAGTGCTTCCAAATGAAATCTCTCCTTATAATCCTTTCAGGGAAAACTTCTGATCTGAATGACTACATTGATAGTTTAAGAAAGTGTATAGGTTTTACATTTGGTTGGGATGGATTTATATTAGTAAATCAGGTTAATATTATAGTTTATTGAAAGCTTATGTCCATTTGGGGTGCAATAAAGTTGAAGGTTCTAAGAAAGATAAAGTAAGAAATTTCTAAGTATAGGGCAGGCATGGTAAATGGGTATAGATGTTTTAATATAGGGGTTTGCATTCTAGATGTTAAACTGCTGGGCTTGACTCTATATTTTTTACTGCTCCAGTGTAAAAAATATTTTTTTTCTCAGAGAAGGATTAA